AGAGAGATATTAAATTAATCAGGCTTATTTGATATGTTAAATTACATGTGAAGCATTGTCAAATAAATGATGATAAACCTTCTTAGGTTATATTGGATGGGTAAATGTTACTAATATAAGTGTTCTAAAAATTATATAAAATGTTAGTCATAATTCTAGTCACTATCTTAAAATGTGTGTTACAGATATAACCAGATTTCCTTGTCAATCTCATTGTAATCAGATCTTTAACCATGCCAATTTAAGTCTTTTGTCATTTACAGACAGTTATTGTTTTACTCTGATGCTTCTGCAAATATGTTTCATCTTCAGAGAGATTCATGGAAAGAACTCTGACACTTACTCTAGAATACAGGTTTCTGATAAACTTTCAATCATAAAACTGAACTGGGTAAGCAATTATAGAACTCTTAACAGAGACACTGGTAACTTCATAAAACTGCTAACAAAGATCAAGAGCAAAAATATTAATTACATGGGACTACATGAACCAAGGAAAATGCTCTAATGTTTGTTTTTCCAGATTTAAAGAAATCTTTTCCCTTCAGCTATCATCAATTTGGTAAGATATACCTTTATGAACAAAAATGAAACATTTACTTTATCTCCCTACCTGATCCCTCCAGAATTCAGACAATCTCAGTGAGTATTCTTATTTTCACTTATATATATAATCAGGCCAAGTTTTTAATATAAACAAATTAGTTTTACTGTGATTATCTTTGGTAAAAAAATAAAGGTAATTGTAGAGAGAAAAATTATGTTTGCACCTTTGTAGAGATTAGATTCTTTTTTTTTTTTTAAAGATTTTATTTATTTATTTTTTCCCCCCAAAGCCCCAGTAGATAGTTGTATGTCATAGCTGCACATCCTTCTAGTTGCTGTATGTGGGACTCGGCCTCAGGATGGACGGAGAGGTGGTGCCTCGGTGCGCGCCCGGGATCCGAACCAGGGCCACCAGCATCGGAGTGCGTGCACTTAACCACCAAGCCACGGGGCCGGCCCTAGAGATTAGATTCTAGTCCTATTAATTGTCTTCAAGGTTTTTTTATATACCCAAAAACTGGACTCACCAACTGCTTGCAGTACCCTCTTTGGAAAACAAACTCACTCCACGTGAGACAGTCACCAACAGATCAGTGTCTGTTGGTATACAACCTTCTGCTGATCCCTTGTTGTCTAATGCTAATATGACCAGCTACTGTCTCTAATGTCTTATACTCAAGCTTATCATCAACAGGTTAAAGAAGCTCTCCCAGATTCCACTTTAAAGGATCCTGTTGGTCACAGGGTATTCTGGACTGGGTATTCTGGAAGCATCATCAGAGGAAGACAGCCCTTGACCCCCACTGGAAATGACCTTACCAAGTGCTCCTAACCACTGACAATGCTGCAGAACTAGAATGCATTTAACCTTGGAGATACATCTCACAGCTAAAGAAGGCTCCAGGGCCAGCCCCTGTGGCCCGGTGGTTAAGTTCAGCGTGCTCCACTTTGGTGCCCTGGGTTTGGTTCCTGGGTGTGGACCTACACCACTCATCAGTGGCCATGCTGTGACGGCAGCTCACATACAAAATAGAGGAAGACTGGCAACAGATGTTAGCTCAGGGTGAATCTTCCTCAGCAAAAAACAGAAAAAAAGAAAGAAAGAAGAAAGAAAGGACACATTTGCTCCCACCTAGCATAAAGGTAAGAAAGGGACTGGGCCCACAGTAAGTATTCAAATGTTTTAGTAGTGCCTGTCAGGGAGCACCAGGCAATAAGAAGATGGTGGGGAGGGGCATGGGAATGTAGTATGAAAACGTATATTTACTATATAACTATTTTATATCTGTAAAATGAAGGGGAAAACCCCACTATTGTTTTCCTTATACAATTCACGTATCATAAAGTTCCATAAATTCTTCTCAGCTGATGGGACCATGTAGAAGACAGGGACTCTTAATGTTGGGGGCATCTGCTTTAGGAGTGAGGGGAAGGGAGGGAAAGCGAGTGCGATTTTTATAGTTTCTCAAAAGAGAGCATGGGTTTTAGAAGACTACTCTCTTGCTCCTTTATTGATCCCAAAGCTGTAAGCAGCTGTAGAAATCATCTCATTAAAATACCCTTGGTCCCACCCCTCTGCCATTTTTCGGGAGGGATGAACCAAGCCTCAGGGAGGGGAGGTAACCTCACTCAAGGTCACAGGGCAAATTAGCTGCAAAGCAAAAACTAGACCCAAGATCTCTTGATTCCCAGGCTGGTGCTCTGCCTACCTCCAAACTCCTAGCAGAGGTTACAGCATCTCTCTGAGGATCCAGCACAGTACTTGGCAACAGAAGGTGTGTAAAGGATGAAGAACAAAAGACTCCCGGGAGCAGTTAAACCACAAATCTTGTGTCATTATGGGCCAGATAACAAGTACTCAGTGAGTCTCAGCGGGAGTGAGGTACAAGGCTCTTCTCCACCCCAGGCTTAGTTCCTCAGGCTCCCAGGATGGGGGAGCAGCTAACTCTCTTTCCTCTCCCACTGCCCCTCCCCTTCCTCCTCTCTCCCTCTTTCTCCTCAGTCAGCCCCCCAAGGCCAGGAAAGAAGTGGCTGCTGGGGCCCCGGATGGGCTGGGGGCAGGGGGGGGCGCTTACCTGCCCGAACAAAGTAGCAGTGCAGAGAGTGCACGTGGTCGTCTTCATTCACGGACTTGGCTGCAGCCACCAGGGCCTGGCCCACAATCTGACCCCCAAACAGCCGCTGGGTTGTGGGTACCCAGTAATGCCTTCCTCTGCGGGGAGAGGGAGAAAGCAGGAGAGACTTAGGGGCTGGGTCGAATCCTATGATTATCAATGAGCCTCTTGTGCAAGATCCCTCAACGTTATTGAGTTTGGGATCCTTTTGAGAACCTGGACCATGGACCCTTTCCCCAGGCAAATATCATAATATCACTCTGCACACAACTTCAAGGCCTTCAGGACTGCCCAACTCTTCTGTGGACTTCACTTACGGATAACGGAACAATCCCCTTATTTTACACTAAGAGAACAGGGATCAGAGAGGGAAAGTGACTTGAGCAAGGTCACACAGCTTAAAACATTGTCATCCTGGGCAGTATCTGGGTCTTCTGAACCCAAGTCTAGTGTTTCTTCCACTGCCCATACTAAAGTAAAGCAGAAGCCTCTCAAGACCTTGAGTGGACCAAGATGAACCCCAAGAGGTGGGGGTGGACTGCATTAAGACCTGCCACTTACACCCCTTAACTTCAACAGCCCAGTTCTTCCAAGAACTAGACTTAGAGCTTGAAGGGCCCTCAGACTTCAAGTCTAACCCCCTCAGTGTACGGATGAGGAAACTGAGGCCTCAGAGGTGAAACATCTTGCCCAGTGTGTGAGCCCTGCGAAGGCTGAAGAATTTAGGTCTCCAGCTTTCCCACGCTCAGCCCAGTTCAGCCCAGAGTTTAGCATTTTTCATATAATGCATTGCAAACAGCCCTCCAGGAAGTTATTTGTAACTCGGTAAGTGGGGGTAAGGGAAATTAACGCCTAAGACAGCTTTCAATATGCCAGTAGGAGCCTTAGAGGCCAAAACGGTTAAATCCCTAGCTGCAGTCAAGAATTTAAGTGGTATCTATCGGAAAGGAGACTGGCTCAGGCGTCAGAATCAGTAATGAGCTACCAGATCCCACCTGGTGTGGATGGTGTATGTAAGAGGAAAAGGACAGTGAATATGCACGGAGCTGCGGATAAGTTTTAAACCTGATCAGCTGTGTGCCCTTGGACAAATCACTGCCCTTTCTGGGCTGGCTCCCGAAGCGCATGACCCCTCAAGGGAGGCTGCTAAGAAGGATATCTCAAGTCAAGACTTTACCGGCCCAGTTTGCCAGGACCTCCTAGGGGTGGGGCTGAGCAGACCCCCGCGCCAAGAGGGAGGAAGCCGGGGCAGCTACGTCAGGGACAAGTTCTCTCCCATTCTCGGCAGAGCCTGCATCCGGCGCAGAGCCCATCCTCGTCCAGGGAGCTATGGGCTTGCAGCAGTGGAGATCAGGAGCCTCTGTCCCAATGGGGGGATGCAGGCCAGAAGCGGCCGGATACCTGAAGAGATCTTCGTCCAGCGGCTCGAGGTTGAGCACGCTCGTGACCAGGACGCTGCGGAGGTCCTCGGGGGGATCGCCGGCATCCTGCCCGTCCTGCGGGGCCTGCAAGGCCGACATGTCGATGACCTGCTGCCGGCCCGAGGCACTGCGCTGAGCCGGACACGCGTAGATCCTCTCAGAACGCGCAGCTTCCGGCAGGTTGCCCTAGTAACCGGAAGTCCCCTGCGGGCCCTGAGAAAACGGGGATGCAGGTTATTATTGGTCGGTGCTCGTGTCAGTCTTCGGGGAGTGTGGAGCTTTCTCTAGCGATTGGAGAAAGTGAGTGCCAGTCTGGGAATCCCATAGGTGATTGGATGTGATAGTGATGGGGCGGAGCCCCGGGAATGATAATATGGGCTGAGTGTCATTTCCCCTCTGTCACATAGCAAAGACGCCCGCAGCCCCTTGTAACCGTCTCAGGCCTAGGGCCTCTCCTGAGCTCCATGACAGGCCACCCAATTAGGCCGACCCTTAAGGCATCCTGGGCCCACGCCAGTCAACAGACCCTCATAGTGTGACCTCTGACCCCCGGCGTTCATCTTGGAGCCAGCCCCTGGTGTGGGCTGAGGGGGCGGCCATGGAGCTAGGGAGCTGCTTCAAGACCTACGAGGACTTCAAGGAGTGTTTCAGCGCCTACAAAAAGGAGAACAGGTGCTCCTTCGTTCTCAGGGACTGCGTCTCCGTCCGCTTCCACAACCTCAACCACGGCACCTCCATCCGCGAGGACATCCTGTAAGGGCGGGCCGGGGGCGGGGCACGGGCGTGGGGAGGAGGCTGGACAGTTCCCAGGAGGGCAGCCTGGAGGGGGCGGGAGTGCATTTGGGCCGTGTCTTTGAGCATTCGCCAGGCACTCGTTGAGCCCCTGTGTGCCAGGTGAAACGAGAGCAAAACCTCCAGAGGCATAGCTTTCTGACCGCCCGCTTCACCTTCACTCCTCGCTCCTTCCTTCACAGCTTTTCAGGCATTCCTAATAACTGCAGTTTGTCCCGTGTTTTGAGCACCTGCAGTATCCCCGACACAAAGTATGGCCCTCACAAATGGATAAAAACGCCCTGGCAGTAATTTCCATCAGTCTCCTCTTTACAAAACAATAACGTGGTCAATTGTTGGTTATTCGTTCATTCATTCGTTTTGTGAATGGTTCTTGAGCTCTTGAGATTAACGACCGTCGTTCAAACACTTTCCAAGTCCCAGGCAGTGTTCTCTATTCTGTGCATGCTTTCTGCAGGGCTGTATTGAGAATTATAGATAAATGTTATTTTTCCCATTTGGCAATGAGAAAACAGGCTTAGAGGCTAAGGTAAGGGCTCAAATGCCTTCAGGGCTCAGGTGAAATAGTCCCGTGTAAGAAAGTTTAGCTTTTAATTTGACTATAAGAAAAAGAATGGCGAACTAACAGCCGACACCAGGTCTCTGTGCCCTGTGGGACAACAGAAGTGTGGACTGGGCGAAATGGAGAGCAGGCTCTATCTAGTCAACTCCAGCTGATGGCTGCCATGTGAAAATGAAGATCCAGTGTTGCTAGAATTTGGCGCAAGAGGCGTCAGAAATCCAGGCTTTATGTGAATTTGTCTATTTTTTAAAAATTGAAAATCAATTCAAATTTGAGCCCATACCATGTGGGCGAATTCTGAGAGTCAAAGCATATCTAAGTTTGAGACCTCTGGGTTGAGAAGTTTGGCCAAAGCTCTCCATCTAGGAGGTAGACTGTGTTCTCTCCTCTACTCCGAAGTCCAGTGCTATGCTGGGGCCAGATAACATAAAGATGAATAAGTAACCAAACCTACCCTCAAAGAGCTTGAGGTGGGATAGGGTCGTACTCAGGTAAACTGACTAGTATGTGATAAATGCTTTAAAAGAGGTGTGCAGAGGAGGAAGTGGTTAATGCCTGGAAAGTGGAGAAAGGCATGACGCTGGAAGTAACGGTTTCTACTGGGCCGTGAATGAATACAAAGGGCCAAAGTCCGAGTTCAGTGGTTAATTGCCGTGTAGCATGGAGGAGTTTGACCAGAAGGAGCTGCGGAGCAAAGGCACGGAAATGTGAAAGAAGGTGGCATGTTTGAGAAAATGTGGGATGCCATGCTTGGCAGAAGTCAGTTGCAGGGTCTTCAGGTACCATTGTGGCATGTTTGGACTTTATCCTATGCTGGTAGCATCTTTCTAAGCAGTGACAAGAATACAAAAATGCCCTGCTCTCAAAGAACAGATTAGTGGTTACCAGAGGGGAAGGGGGTGGGGGGAGGGCGAAAGGGGTAAAGGGGCACGTATGCTGACGGATAAAAATCAGACAGTTGGTGGTGAGCACGATGCAGTCTATACAGAAACTGATATATTAATGTACACCTGAAATTACACAATGTTATAAACCAATATGACCTCAATAAAATAATTGGGGGAAAAAAATAGCCTGCTCTCAAGCTGCTTACAATCTAGGTCAGATAAAGTGCAGTCGCCTCCTGTTGCCTTCAGATTAAGGGCAGGACCATTAACCTGGCTCGCCAGACCATCTGACCTTTCTGATCTCCCCATCTTGCATTGTGCGCTCCATCCAGACTGGGTCCACTCCACACAGCCTCTGTCCCAAACCCACACCTTCCTGGTCCTTGCATTTACCATGTCTGCTGGTTGGAATAACCTTGCCTATCCACTTATCTTAGCTCACTTTTCCTCAAATATCAGTCACTTTGTATACTATCATTGCAGTACTTACTATATATCCTATATTACAGTTTACTTAACATTTTTCTTTAAATTCAGTTTTGATATTCAAAGAAACCTGTTTTAGAACCAATCTAAGCAATAATATATAAGAAGTAACAGTATAATGGCAAAAAAATAGTATATATTTATAAATAAGTATTCTTGTGTAATCTGAGGTCATTTTGGACCACTTACGGAAAACTCTGTCTTAGCTAATTGTTACTTTTCCTTCAGATCTCAACATATTTTCCAAGAAGCCTTTCTTAACTCCCTAAAGATTAGGTTAGATGCTCCTCCTCTGTGTTCTGACAGCACCTGTTACAGCTCTTAGCACATTGTTTTGAACTATAGTTTACAGAGGTTTCCCGGGTTAGGCTGTAGGCTGAGCTCTCCCAGGGAGGGACTCTGGTTTTCCACCTTTTGTAGTCTCACTGATTGGCACAGTGCCAGCTGTGTAGGATTAAGTCCAGATACCTCATAATTGCACCTAAACACCCTTCAGGTTAACTATCCCCATGGTCTAGCACAGGGCTGGGCCCATAGCAGGCATTAAGTAATTGGGTTTTTTTTGTTTTTTAATTTTTTGTTTATTGCAGTAACATTGGTTTATAACATTGTATAAATTTCAGGTGTACATCACTATACTTCTATTTCTGCATAGATTACATCATGTTCACCACCCAAATACTAATTACAACCCATCACCACACACTTGTGCTGAATTATCCCTTTCACCCTCCTCCCTCCCCCCTTCCCCTCTGGTAACCACCAATCCAATCTCTGTCTCTATGTGTTTGTTTATTGTTGTTATTATCTACTACTTAATGAAGGAAATCATACGGTATTTGACCTTCTCCCTCTGACTTATTTCACTTTGCATAATACCCTCAATGTCCATCCGTGTTGTCACAAATGGCTGGATTTCATCGTTTCTTATGGCTGAGTAGTATTCCATTGTGTATATATACCACATTTTCTTTATCCATTCGTCCCTTAATGGGCACTTAGGGTGCTTCCAAGTCTTGGCTATTGTGAATAACGCTGCAGTGAACACAGGGGTGCTAAGTAATTGTTGCATGAATGAGTCATCAAGTGTTAAACATGTGATTCAGGGACATAGGTGCTGCAGGGACTCAGAGAAAATCACGATGGGCTGGAGAAGTAAGAGAGAAAGGGGGGCTTAAGCTGGGCCCCTAAGATGGGGAGGTGTCAGGAGGTGTATTAGTTTTCTATTTGCTGTCTAACAAATTACCACAAACATAGTGGTTTAAACAACACAGTTTATTATCTTACAGTTCTGTAAGTTAGAAGGCAGACACAGGTCTCACTGGGCTAAAATCAAGGGCTGCATTTCTTTCTGGAATCCCTAGAGAAGAATCCGTTTCCTTGTCTTTTCCTTGGCTCATGGTCCCCTTCCTCCATCTTCAAAGTCAACAGTGGCTGGTTGAGTCCTCACGTTGCATCACTCTGACTGGCTGCTGTCATCCCATCTCCCTCTCTGGCTCCCCTCTTCTGCCTCCCTCTTCTACTTTTAAGAACCCTGTGGTTATACTGGGCCAACCCAGATAATCTAGGATAATTTCTCTTTGAAAAGTCAGCTAGGGGGCCGGACCCATGGCTTAGCGGTTAAGTGCGCACACTCCGCTGCTGGTGGCCCGGGTTCGGAACCCCAGGCGCGCACCGACACATCACTTCTCCGGCCATGCTGAGGCTGTGTCCCACATACAGCAACTAGAAGGATGTGCAACTACGACATACAACTATCTACTGGGGCTTTGGGGGAAAAAAATAAATAAAATTAAAAAAAAAAAAAGTCAGCTAGGGCCGCCCCGGGGCTTAGCAGTTAAGTGCGCGCGCTCCGCTACTGGCGGCCTGGGTTCGGATCCCGGGCGTGCGCCGACGCACCACTTCTCCGGCCATGCTGAGGCCGCGTCCCACATACAGCAACAGGAAGGATGTGCAACTAGGACATACAACTATCTACTGGGGCTTTGGGAAAAATAAAAGGAGGAGGATTGGCAATAGATGTTAGCTCAGAGCCGGTCTTGCTCAGCAAAAAGAGGAGGATTAGCATGGATGTTAGCTCAGGGCTGATCTTCCTCACAAAAAAAAAAAAAAAGTCAGCTAATTAGCAACGTAATTTCATCTGCAATCTTAATTCCCCTTTGCCATGTAACCTAACATAGTCACAGGTTCTAGAGATTAGGAAGTGGACATCTTTGGGGGACCATTCTGCCTACCACAGGAGGATTAATGTCCTGGAGGGAGAAATGGTGTGAGTTAGTGCAGATGTTAACATGATGTACTTAGAAGGCAGTGAGGGGATCTGCTTAGCTAGGAGGAAGATTTATGCTGGAGCAGTGGGAAAGAAAATTGGAGGAACTCAAACAACAGATTGGAGGGTTGGAATTAGTTTCATTTATTTTTGTTTTTGAAGGTTGAACAGTTTAAAAAATGAATTTGTTTTTTCTGTTTTTTGTGAGGAAGATTAGCCCTGAGCTAACATCTGTTGCCAATCCCCCTCTTTTTGCTGAAGAATATTGGCCCCGGGCTAACATCCGTGCCCATCTTCCTGCACATTCTATGTGGGATGCCACCACAGTATGGCTTGTGAGCGGCGCATACGTCCGCGCCGGGGATCCGAACCCGCAAACCCCGGGCCACCGAAGCGGAACGTGCGAACTTAACCACTGTGCCACCTGGCCGGCCCCTGAATTTGTTTTTGAATGGTTAATATAGTCATTTAATTTAAAAAAATTTCAAACCATAGAGTCTAAAAGCCAGTGTCTCCCCTTCCACTGTGTTATCTAGAGGCAACCACTGGAACCTTCCTGAGATACGCAGAGCTTGAACAAGCGTATCATTACCAGCATATGCGTCTTCTTTTTAACACAAGCAGCGGCATACTATTTATACACATCATTCTACACCCTGCTTTTCTCACTTATCAATGTATTTTGGAGATTATTGCACAACACTTATTCCAGGATGTGGCCGCTTAATTCATTGATTTTAGCAATTGTTTACTGAAA